CTTTAACAGTTGACGGTTAAAAATGATCCGTTTTGACGGTAGACGATTAAATTTTCGGTCAAATCTGGGACATTTGACGGTTAATATTGGCTTGCTCATTTGACGGTTGACGGGAAAATAAATTGCGTTTTAACGATTGGCGATCAATTGTTTGGCCATTTGACGGTTGACGGTGCGTTTACCCCATTGAGACTCTCTTTGACTGCAACCGATGCAAAATTCCAAACACAACGCTTTCTGTTGTTCAGGCAAAATTTAAACTTTGAACGAAAACAAAAATTTTGTACCGAGATTATTTAGATCGTATTGCAAACTCCTGTGCAACTTTTTTGAATATGTTCTCAAAAGAAATTATTTCTAACAACAACAAATGTCGAAAACTGATTTTGAAGGTTACTGAAACACTTGAAATTACTGGTAAAATGAAACTGATGATGAAATTTTACCTGTGTTGGCACAATTACTCTGAACTTTGAAATTTATTTTCTCAAGTTTACATGGGAATTTGTTTTCGGTGTAATTTCAGGCAATTATTTATATCTTTAGATTTTATAAAATGCAAAAAGGACTGTAATTAATTAAAAATCATTCTGATACAAGGTTTTTGTCCATTAAAAACTAAAATTGCTCGATTTCCTATCGGATTTTGTCTTAATCGTTTTTTTCGAGGGTAGAATTTGCCGATATCGTAACCATAAAAAAATCCGACAGTTAGTAGTTAATTGAAAGTCCAGTAACCATGTTAACCACCTGTCCATCAGTATTACGGTGCAACACCTTGTAATAAGAACTATCTGAAGTTGTAAGTAGTTAATATTTACGGGCGGAATAACTGGCCTGCCTATGATGGAATAGCCATGAACCGCAATGAGCTCATTGGCAGCCAATAGCGGTTTAGGATTATTAAACAAAATATTACATAATTTGTTTAGAGACTATAGAATATACGCAAGTGTTTTGTAAATTGTTCTTCAGTTACGCCCCAGGTGGTGGGACATCGGATACCACTACGGCCGCATTGGGTTACATATTCTGGTTATGTTCTTGTTATATTCTTGGATTAAAAGGCTAAAGTTGGTCCTAAATTCTGTGTACTGTTGATGTCTCTGGAGATAACGTTCCTGTAACAGATCCCGGCCTCTCTTCAGCCAGAGAGTTTCTCCAGGTTTTGAAAAAGCGCTTTCCCAGGCCAAAAACCTATTATTAAATTTTCCACTTATCAGATAAAGGCAAATAGCCAACACTTGGGGTTTTAACCTTGCTATGTTCAATTTGAAATATTTTTTTCTGAAAGTTAATGGCTTGGCTCCACTAGGAGGTTTTTGATGCTAACACCGAGCGAGGGTATTTATTTGTTTGTTCATTTGTCTTTTGGTCTTTCGTCAAATCACATGAGCGTAATCCGACACAAACTTCTCTGTTTAAGAAACCCTCGAGCAGATACTGTTTGCCTCTGGTGATTGCAAAAGAAACGACTCCTTCGTGCTAATACAGTGTGCGCTCATCTAGATTAGTATATCCGTCTTGTAACCATGGAAACAGCCATACTGTTTTCCTTTGTCATACAAAGGAAAACAAATAAGCATTATGTGGATCAGGAGGTTAAGTAAAAGAGCCAATTTTAATTCAATTTAAAAATGCAACAGAGGAAAAACGGGCTTGAAAACCCGTTAGAGTTAACGTCTAAAAACTTCAGTTTTCTTAATTTAATCTTTTCTTAAATATATTGCACGTTAACAGGAAAAATCTCCAAAGCTGCGTATATATATTTGCATAACAACAGAAACAGGCATTTTTCATAGACTGTATGGCAGCTAAGGAGTTCATAATTTCTGCATCATCATGCATTTATTTGGTCAGGGAATTAGTTAAAAAGAAACATCTAAATCCCTCGCTTTCACATTTAAAAAATTCCTGTCCAGGTGGCATTATTTGAAATAGCTAGTTTCAAAGACGGATACTTAAGGTTTTGCAGACTGGGGCAAGCCAAGATGAATGAAGTGTATGGTTTGGTATTAATGGCGACTTTTGTGTTGGTGACCTTTGCAATGTCAGTTGAGACACACAGGAATGGAAGAACATCAGCTGTAAAACAAGGTAAACAACAAGATTCGTGACGTATATTAAAAGAAAAATTGTGAACTCTAACAGCACAAAACTTGAAGTCCCTGTCAACATCAAACTGCAGGAGTTACGTTGATTATTGAGCTGTATTAAACTTTAAGAACTGATTTACAATGAGAATCAGGCCTGTTCAGTCAGTCTTGAATGAAATAGAAAGTTGCCCAGATTTATGGGATTGAAACTACGCGAATTTTTAGAAACTAGGAATATGTACTTCGTCACAATAAACTAAATCTACTAAGCTTCTGAAAGGTTAGACTGATTTGAACAGGATCGACGCACATGTAAACTGCAAAGGATGCAACACTAAAAAGTTTGGTGGCGGTCAATTTGTGACGGTCCCCGCCCATCAAACGATGGATGGAAGCCTATATCCTGTGGGTTTGGTGATGGGCAAGCTTGCCTTATAAAAATAGTGCTTAGAATGGGCATTTTCTGCGAAAACGTCTTCTTGAAAAATGATTCAGTTATACTTTATTTTCCTCTCTATGATCCAGAGTCGGTGGAGCTGGAAGTTTCCATTTTACATCTTGTGCGCCAGACATTTATTTCAAATGGCCATATCAACTCGCGACCTCGTGCTTTTAGATGGATAGACTAAGCTAGGAATTATTTCGTTTTGAGTCTCCGTCTGATTTAGACACGACTTAAAGGATATATGTACATCTTAATTTCTCATATTCTTCAGCGCTAACTCAGTGAAACTAAATTAAAATCCCGCCGTTTGACTTAAGTGGACGGGATG